AGAGAGAGAGAGAGAGAGAGAGAGAGAGAGAGAGAGAGAGAGAGAGAGAGAGAGAGAGAGAGAGTCATATGAACTCTTCTCCAATTAATTTAGCACCAAAGACAGCTCCCATAATTATCTACGACTTCCCAAAAGCTGGAATTCATATCTCTTTGTTTGCAGGTTAGTTTATGTTTTAGCAAGGTTTCCTTCCATTCCAACCCTTAACTGGTTAGCCATGTTTTCCTTCCCAGTGGAAAGATTGTTGTTGTTGTTGTTAGCTGCGAAGTCATGTCCAACCCATCGTGACCCCATGGACAACGTTCCTCCAGGCCTTCCTGTCCTCTACCATCTTCTGGAATCCATTTAAGCTCACACCCTCCTGCTTCAGTGACTCCATCCAGCCACCTCATTCTCTGTCGTCCCTTTCTTCTCTTGTCCTCCATCTTTCCCAGCATCAGGTTCTTCTCCAGTGAGTCCTTCCTTCTCATTAGGTGGCCAAAGTACTTGAGTTTCCACTTCAGGATCTGGCCTTCTCAAGAGCAGTCAGGGTTGATCTCCTCTAGGACTGACCGGCACTCCGGGGGACTCGCAGGAGTCTTCTCCAGCACCAGAGTTCAAAGGCCTCCATTCTTTGGCGCTCAGCCTTGCTTATGGTCGGAAAGATTGTTAAGTCTCCCCAAAAGGAGGAGAAATATAATATGAAAAGTGGAGGAAGAGGATCAGAAGGAGATGGTGGAAAGTCTGTCATTTCAGACTTTCAAAATTCTGTTAATGTTGCCTCACAATGAAGTAGAATTAGTTCTTGCATCCTGTTTCCTGTCTGGTCTACCTGAGAAGGGTGACACTTTCAGAGCAAACAGCGAAAATGGCTAAGAAACTGACACTTGTGTTACTGGAGCAATCAGACATTGGATAGTATCAACAATTTGCTAAGTATGTCTGTCACTGACTCTACTGAATGCAGGGTGGCAGCAATAAAGTCTTCAGTTCACATCCTATGGTGTCTACAAGAGATTGAACCATAAAAGTTCACCCCATTTTTCATCCACCACTTCTCTCTGTCTCCTGTAGGCCACCCTGAGCTGCTTTTTTTTTTTTTTTCAATATAAAATTTTATTGTTTTCATCATAAAAAAAAGAAATACATTACAGATATTACACAATGTTATATCCCATCCCCCCACCCCCCGGACTTCCCAAACCAAACCTAGGCTAATATTCAAATACAAGTAAACAAATATTAATATCTCTAACTCCAAACTCTAAACTTAAACAATCCATCTCCTCCGTATTAATAAAAATTATTCATTTAATTAGTTCTTCAAATACCCAAAATCTTTACCATTTCAGCAAGATAGTTTAACACCATCCCTTACTTATGGTGTCTACAAGAGATTGAACCATAAAAGTTCACCCCATTTTTCATCCACCACTTCTCTCTGTCTCCTGTAGGCCACCCTGAGCTGCTTTTGACATGAGGAATTTGATCAGGCATTATGTAAAGCTTAAAATTAATCTGAAGTCAGGTTCTTTGGCAGATGAACTCAATACCAATCAAAAGAAACATCCTCAAATCCCTATGGTGCAGCACTTCAGAAAGAGCTTAACCAACACCTTCAAAGGGAAGCAAATTGACGCTCTTGTTGAAACAAGTTCTTCTTTTAATCGTGCCAAATTAAGTCTTCGTTTTTTCTATAGCTTTGTGCTGCCCCGCAAAACAGGCTTTTGTATCACAAAAAAGATCTTGAGAGTTTGGGAAAAAAAATCAGAGAAGAGTGACTACTAAGATGATCCAAGGCCTGGAGACTAAAACATACGAAGAACGGCTGTGGGACTTGGGTTTGGCTAGTCTAAAGAAAAGAAGAAACATGATAGCAGCATTTCAGTATTTGAAGGGCTGCCACAAAGAGGAGGGGGTCACTTTATTCTTCAAAGCATCAGAGGGAAGGACAAGAAACAATGGTTGGAAACAGATCAAAGAGAGAAGCAACCTGGAAATAAGGAGAAATGTTCTGACAGAGAGAACAATCAACCAATGGAACAGAAGTTCCTGACAGTGAGGATAATTAACCAGTGGAATAGCTTGCCTCCAGAAATCGTGGGCACTTCATCACTGGAGATTTTTAAGAAGAGGCTAGATAGTCACTTGTCTGAGATGGTATAGGTTCTCCTGCTTAAGCGGGGGGCTGGACTAGAAGACCTCCAAGTTCCCTTCCAGCTCTATTCTATTCTATTCTATTCTATTCTATTCTATTCTATTCTATTCTATTCTCCATCTTCCCTACCTTAAGAGGTCCATCCTGAGGTCTCCCCTTGGGATCAAATGGAAATTCAGAAAGGTATAAATAACTAGAGAGACAGTTCTACAATGTAAAACAGCTCACTCACAAACTCCAGCCTTTCAAAACGTATCGAAGTAAAGGAACCCCTTAGCCCAGACATCAAAATTCCACCAGTGTGTTCTTTGGCTTTTAAAATCAAAACTGTAAAAAATGTTCAGCACATCACGAATGTAATCCATCTGGGCCACTGCCTGTACCGAAGAACAGATCACCGCAATGTACAATTGTGAATTCTAGAATCGAAGCAGGCCATTCACGACAAAACGTCACAGAAAAACTTTCATCAATCACAACCCCTTCTTAATCAACAAGACCTCCAATCCTAGTTGTACCCAAACAACTAACCAGGAAAGTCCGTAGAGTTTGCAAATACAAACGGCAGACTGTTCTTTGTTTACCCATTTACCATCCTGGGTGGGATGGTAGTGTAGAAAAATCATCCAAAGGTTCTTTCCAAAAGGCAACAGGATATGCTTGGTTTTTTTTTTAATTTTTCCTTGAAAATGCGTTGCTTCTCATCCAAGAAGCTTCTTCAGAACTGGAGGAGAAGCAATAGGTCTTCAAGGAAAAACAAAGGAAGTCCAGTTGTCTTTTGAAAAGCACCTTTGGAACCTGGATGAGTGACAATCTCACGAATGATGAAGGCGAATATACATGTCCCAGGATAATGTTGCGGGATCCAATCTGGGTCGGTCACTGGGACCAGCTTTTGGACTTCTCCTGGAGCCCATCTTCAGGGAACTTCTCTCTAACAGAGTGTGTGTTGTTCTACGTGTGGTGTTTTTTGTAGTGCCCATTGTAAGCGATCGAGAATCTCTATAGATGAATGTAGAAGAAGCCACTCACCATGACAGACACGTGTAGAATGTGCATCTGCTCATCCACAATCTCCGAAGGTTCTTGCAGGCTCGGTGGCGTGGCCCGGGAAAGTTGTTCAGCGCTGCTCATGGACACATGGAAGTAGAGGGTGCCATTTTCCAACCACTGCTGTTTCCAATGCACCAGAGAAAGATCTGACACCGTTCCGGACATCTCTGCCAGAAGGAGAAATGGAACTTAGTATTTATATATTGCTAAAAGTGTTCATCTTACTGCCATTCTTCACCATTCTGATCTGTAATTGTATTTTAAGCTGGCATGGCTGAGTTTGCCATTCTTTGTTTGCTTATCTCTTCCATATTTTTCCTCTACATCAGGGGTCTTCAAACTTGGCCCTTTTATGACTTGTGGACTTCAACTCCCAGAATTCCTCAGCCAGACATGCTGGCTGAGGAATTCTGGGAGTTGAAAGTCCACAAGTCATAAAAGGGCCAAGTTTGAAGACCTCTGCTCTACATGGTCCCTTACTCTTGGAGAAAGGACCTTCTCTATTTTAACCATGTCACGGTTGTCCCAAAAGGTGCTTTTTCAAGAGGCAGATGGACTTTCTTTGTCTTTTTCTTCAAGACGTTTCGCTTCTCATCCAAGAAGCTTCTTCAGAACCGAAGAAGCTTCTTGGATGAGAAGCGGAACGCCTTCCAGGAAAACCCAAGGAAGTCCAGTTGTCTTTTGAAAAAAAGCACCTTTGGGACTTATGTGCCGATGTGCTAGAAAAATGCTAACCAATTATAATCAATTCAATAACTGGCCTTATTAACATTGTCGCATCTCCAATACAGCAGCAAAGACTTAGATAGGCAGAAGATTAAAAAACGTGAAAGAGAAATGGGAAGGTCTCTTCTTGGCTAATTGTGACTCTCATTGGCCAGTTTGGGGAATAATGAAAAATCGTTCCCAGTTCAATGACCAAAGCTTAACGCCCACCCTCTTTGCTTCTACAAGAACAGAGGTCTGTTTTGCTTCTCATTAGCCAGAGGATCCTTTGATACCTAAACAAAAGGGACAATTACTTCTTTAAACCCTACTGAATGAAAATCCATCGGAGGTCCATGCATCCCTTTTACGACTCAATCGAGCAAAAGGAAGGAACACAATTGTAAAACAAAGCAAATCTTTCTTCCTTGGATGTTTCTCTATCACCATTGATTTCTGATAAGTTGGTGGATCTTAATGAGTTGTTCCAATTCTACATTAATTATATTAACGACATAATCCTGCCTGACTTATCGACAACTGGAGATTAAGCAGACCGAAGGAGGAGGAATACCCAGGTGATACGGGCAAAACACAGTTTCTCCTTCCAGAGGGAGCATCTACCTATTTTAAAAACAGTCACTCAGACCATCCCAAAAGTGTTTTTCCAAAAGGCAACCGGACTTTTCTTGTGTGTTTTTTCCCCTTTTTTCCTTTCTTGTTTTTTTTTTCCCTTTCTTTTCTTTCTCATCCAAGAAGCTTCTTCAGTTCTGACGGAATATAAATCCTTATATTTCCCCGCCATTCAGCGAGAAATGAAGAAGCCTCTTGAATGAGAGGTGAAATATCTTCAAGGAAAGAAAAACCCAAAAAAAATAATCAAATTGCCTTTTGTAATAATATTAATAATGGAAAAGCATCTTTGGGACAACCATGATTGGGATGACCGAGCATCTCCATAGACATCAAGTCACTCAGATGTTTGGGGGAAAAAAAATAGAGCTACATTCCACCTCCTCTACCTCTTTGTGGCTAGACAATTGTGGTTTACAACAAAAGCCATTGGGAAAACCACAGAAAGAAGAAGGCAATTTTAAGTGGTCCCACACTGAAAAAATTCTGCTTTGGTCTGGATCCCACATAAAGCAGGTTCCCAACCCCCTTTTCACGTACAGAAATATTCCTACCCATGCCACATTAGCTCCAATCCTCTCTTTTGCACTTTTTATTTTTTAAAAAATTACTTTTCTTAAACTGTTGGAACAGAAATCAACCTAGAAAACTCTTGCCCAAGGTTTTAACGTCTTTCTCCCCTTTTCCAGTCAGGATTCAGAACTGTCTCCCTCACACTCTACTTTGGATTGAAAAGCAAGACCTTGTTTTTGTTCTTGAGGGAAAAAAAATAATAACAAGATTAAAATAGTCCAGTGTATTCCCTTCCTTGGCACAGTGTCTAATTATTTTATTGATGTCTCCAAGAGAGAAGCGTTATAATTAGAATCCCCAAGGAGGACACTTGGTGGACCTGGACCCTGTTTCTATCTCCAGCAGCAAAGAAGACATGCATGTGTATGTGTGAATACTAGATTATATGCCTTGTGAGCATTGTTTAGCATTTTTTTGTGTAAATTTTTATTGCTTTTCTAATATTACATTTTGACATTTGAAAGCAACGTGGCGGCTGGGTACAATAACTCTATTCCACAGAGATATCATTAGTACAAATCTCAAATTGTTACAATCCCCATTCCCTCTCTTTCTCCTATTTTAACTAATGCAATTCTTGTTCTGTCAATCAAACAGAAAGTAACTTTCTAACATTTGTCAATAATTTTTAGTTAATATATATATATAAACTAAAAATGATTGACAAATGTTATCTTAGTTGTTTTAACTTTCAGTCTTTAGACAATCAACGACCTAATCATTTTTTCTCAATTTTAATTTTCCATTAATATTTAAATTTAACGTTTAATAATGATCGTTTCCACACTTTAGGGGACCCCAATTCCTTTATGACCATCCCTCCCAAAGTCTAATATTCAGGATACACATCTTTATCTATATAAGTTCTCACAAGCGTTATTCTGGTTTCCAATGCAGCGTCTGTGAGGTAAATGGTGACAAATGAACATTATATATTAATCCCGATGGCGAACACCAGGGTAAATTAGATAAGACGCGCCAGAGGTACACAGAGAAGCAAAAACCAACGGGTGCCCACAGAATTAATTCTGTGAATTAATTAATTAAGTGAATGGAACAACTTTTCTCTCAGAACTGTGGGTGCTCCATCACTGGAGGTTTTCAAATATAGACTGAACCACCATTTAACCAGGATGGCGTAAAAGGTCTCCTGCCTTGAGCAGGACGTTAAACTCGGAGACCTCCTCGCCCCTTCCAGCCTTAGGACTCTATGATTCTGTAAATCACAGTAAATCAGGGTCTTCCCAAGCCGTTAAGACAATAGCCAAGTTTCCCCTGAGTCAGAAAGAAAGCTAAAATTAAAACTCTCTTAGGAGACATAGCTAAAGACTATTTTCTGTCTACTGCAGTAGAGAAACCTTTGTGTACCCATTGCTAAAAGACTAATCTTCAGAGTAAGATCCACAAGCCTTCGACTGACTCAGCCAGAATATAGAATTTAAGTGTCTGAACAGTCCGGATTTACAGCTATGCCTGCGTGAAGTCTGACAGCATGAACGAAACTCCCACAGCAAGAGAAATATACTCATGTTTTTTCCATAATGTTATACCATTGTTGCATGCCACAATACTTAGCCAGATTCCCCCCTTACTTGTTCAGCAACATGCACAGCTTTGATGACAATCAAATCCCAGTACGAAAGGAAAACTCCCTTTTTTTTTTGCCTGACCCATCTCTTGGTTTCCCACGTCCAAACCAAAGCAGGAATCTTGAGTCAGCTTTCTTTCTTTCTTTTTTTATGGTTTATAAAATGTAATTTTATTTAACGTTATTTTGTTACATAGGGCATTAACATTTTCACAAGGCTTTTTTGGGACTATAATCAATGATTAGCAACACACAACAGTAGTCCATCTACCTACAGAACAAATCACTGGACGAACTTGACACCTTCATACATGTGCACAAATCTGCATGGAAAAGTTTTATACTTGGACATGTGACCACTTTCCCCATTGACCTTGGCTTCTGAACCAGCCATGCTAGGTTAAGAGCCTGAATTCACAGATGACATTAAACCATAATCATTTTATTGGGCTGGGCGTTAAGAGTACGCTGTGCATGCAGCCATCCTGGTTTTCAAATTACGATTTATGATTTACCTACTGTGCGGAAGCCAGCCAATTGTCTGTTAAATAAATCAAAGCTTATTATGAGGTGGGAAGCTAGTGAATGTTCCTCCCAGTGAATTGTGGGTAGTTTGTGCAAACAAGCAAGAATTTTTATTTGATCTCTGCTAACTGTATCGTTTGTGCATTCATCTGAACCTTTTTATTTTCTTTGTTTGCTCTGAATGTTAAAAAGAAAAAAAAAGATTAATTGGACATGCATCACCCTCTAGAGCCTTCTTTTTAAAAAAAATAGAATTTCCCTATATTATGAAGGCTGGGGGGAAAAAAAGGGTAGGTCAGGTATAAATTCTGTTATCTCTTTTTTGTACCAGGAAGGTATACAAAGTAAACCTAATTAAGATCTGTTTGATTTACGTCTTTAAGATGGTGTTCAGGAACTGTCAGAGATGATCTGAGAAATAGGCTGTGCAAGGCATGAGATCCCATTTATCCTTAAAACTAAGATCATTCCTTAGCTTGTTTCCAAAGGGGAGCTTTCCAAAAAGAAATTGAGCCAACTGCTGTTCCTCTGAAAAATACTATTGAGTTGGGCAGTTGGCAAAAAAAATAAGGGTTTTTTTTTCCCCTCCTTCTCTTCCAAATGTTTATGTTGGCAAACTGTGAACCAATTACCCTTCATTTGTGCTAGTAAGAAAATGGCATGTTACAATCTTCAAACAGGCCAGGATTATATTTACAATATTTACAACTGAAAGATTTCCCAACCCTACAGTATTATTCTAATCCATCTTTCCATCAAAGTAAAATGGAGCTTCTAGAACATCCAAACGGTCAACAGATATAGAGGTGCTATCTCCATTTTTTTTAAAAAAAAATTCTGGCTTATCACCCCTAAATATTGACATTTAACCCCAAAGTCACCTTCAGTTCCTTTTCATTGCCTCATTGCTGTGGCTTGAGCAAAGACTTATTGATTTCCTGCTCCACGCAGCCTACCAATCACGATCCACTTCCATGACTTTCTCCTGACTTGTTTAGATTGTAATTCAGCCCCAAGTACATTACTTTTATTTATAATACCGATGTTTCAGCAGGGTTGCTGGAAGCCTTCAACAATTATTTACAGGGCTCTTTTGATTTTCAATTTCCAAACCGTACAATCCCATTTTTTATTCATCTGC